TAACCTCTGGATGTCTGGAGTTGGGGCGGAAGCGTTGATTGACAGTTGGCATACAGGGGGGAAGATAGGTTGTCGCCTGTAGACTGGAGCTGTCTTCTGCAGCTTCCTGCACGTATGCTGCCGCGCAACTCGACCCTGCGGAATCCCATGATGCGACAGCTTGCAGGCAGAAAACCAGAGAAATCCAGTCGGATGCAGGATCACAGTGCTTCTGTTCGGTAGTGAGTCATTGATGAGATTCTCAGAAGTCAGGCGTCGCTGTGTGAAACCAATCGAGTCGCACTAGCTGAGTCACTCGCTAAACATTAAGCCCACTATAACATATACCCCTCAACTCTAAGCGAAGCTTAAACCCTGAGGACAGCAGCTTCCTGTGGCCGTGGGCGGCTGCTGCCTCGGTGGTCGCGGGCGCTGGCATTCTCCTGGTCCGAAGGCAAGCAAGTTACTTTGGACTCGGAGTTTGAGTTCATGACATGCTTTCTGTGGGTCGCGGCGATCGTTATTCCTGGGCTTGAAGAGGTCAGATTTGCTCAACATTATGTGACCGTTTCAGTAACCGCACCTGCCTTTTGCTCTATATTCAGCTCGAGAACAACAGCAGCCTATAGTGACCGGAAACCGCAAAGCGGTAGTACTGACTGATGTCCATACTGGTCGCGAACCTTGAGCCGGTTTGTAATCCTATATCCCCTTGATAGACTTTGTCCACTCTGGTGTTGTGAGCCTTCCGCCATGTGTTGAACACGGCCGACATTTCACGCTGAACCTGCAGTCGGCAGACTAAGTCGTTGCTGTCACGTCCCCGAGGAAAGCAGCGCCTTCAAACCCTGAATTCCCAACTGCAAGAACCGGGGTGAGTACTCGATATTTCCAATGCTCTTCAGAGCCCATTTACAAGGAGCACGAGGCCCCGACAAGCGAGTACATTTTCCTAGTGCTGCTCCCTTTGATCTGCGAGGCCCGGGAAAGTGCGAGAGCCGGAGACCGTATCCTGCGAGATGGCGAGCACATCCTAGCTGTCCTGGATCTTGTTTGAATCCTCAGGGTGGATGGATTTGAGGCTTTAGGGATTAAACTGGAAGTTCGGAGGTTCAGAGTCCGGTCTGGGGTTTAGGGTACAGTACTTTAGACAGGCATACTGTTTCTGTGATTCGGGGGCAGAGGGTCTTGTCTTCGGTCGTTGATGGCTGGAAGCCTTTGTTCGGGGAGATTGCCGGACAGACAACGTGGGCAATCAGAGGGTTCTAGGGCTTGCGGTCTGAGGGTTTTGAATACCAATGGTGCAGAAGTACCGAACCCAGAGTACCCGTAGCAGGTCCACGTGCGATAGTGGGTTCATCGTACAAGTAGTGATGACTCACGGCATTAGGGATGCTCGCTGTCTCGCAAAGACATGCCTGCGGTTTTACCATCGGCTCTTCGCCGTGATTTCACAGTGAAGGCTGCGATAAAAAAAGTCACTGTCGAACTTACCAGAGCTGTCCATGAGTATTTCGGCAACAAGCCAACCATGAGCACGACCCTTGGCACTATCAATAATACCAGCAACAGCTGAAAGGTCAGCAGGATGTAGTTGTGGTGGTAGTGACTGCCGCCGCTACTACTACCACTGACGCTACCATTACGACGACGACCATGATGACAACGGGTATCACTGGTATCACTACTACTGCTACCCGGCTGCTACTACTGCTACTGCTACTGCTGCTGCTGCTGCTGCTCCTAATTACTGCGACTCCTGCTCTTATCATTATCATTATTACAGCTGTTGTTAGTACCAGATTTTTCTTGTTGCTCTATATTATTGGTTAGTTGTAGTATTAGTGTATTATTGCTATTCTTCTTCTTGTTACTAGTATTTCTGCTACTGCTGCCACAACTACTGCTACTTAATACTGCTGCTATTGCTACTACTCCTGCCACTCCTGCGGCTACCACTACCACTACCCCTGCACTACCACTACCGCTGCTACTACTACTACTACTACTACTGCTGCTGCTGCTGCTGCTGCTGCTGCTGCTGGCCAATACTACTACTACTACTACTACTACTACTACTACTACTACTACTACTACTACTACTACTACTGCTGCTGCTGGCCAATACTACTACTACTACTACTCCTCCTCCTGCTGCTGCTGCTGCTGCTGCTGCTGCTGCGGCTGCTGCTGCAACTGCTGCTGATTCTGCTGCTGCTGCTGCTACTGCTACTGCTACCAGGCTACCACAACTACCACTACTACTACGACGACTACTACTACTGATGCTACTACTACTACGACTACCACCACTACTCTTATTGCTACTACGACGGGGTTCCTACCCACTACTACTACCACCACCACCACTACCACCCCCACTGCCACTGCCATAGCCACTACCTCTACCACTACTACTGCTACTACTGCTACTGCTGCTGCTGCTGCTGCTACTACTACTACTACTACTACTACTACTACTACCCAACTCTTACCACTCCTACCAGTACTGCTACTGCTATTACTACTACTACTACTACTACTACTACTACTACTACTACTACTACTACTACTACTACTACTACTACTACTACTACTACCACGACGACTACTACTACACCTGCAAGATTAATTATGCCTTTCTCAGCCATGAACCCCGAGTTGTAAGTGCTAATGATGCGGGATATTGCAGGTTGATCCGTTAAGATAGGAATGGAAAGGTGCTCCGTCCGGGTCCCGGGGGCCTGATCCTCCGCGGCGTGCGCGGAGGGGGGATGCCCATCTTCCAGGCCGGAGAAGAGTCGATTGCAGGTCGTGGGTCCCGGATTTCGGGGCTTCACGGGTTTCGGGACGGGTTTGCATATTTGCTCAGGATTCAGCCTCTACAGAGTCTCGTCGGTCCTGGTTATCCTGTGACGAAGCACGTCGCAACAGCAGCCGCCCAAAGTCTCGACTGAACAAGAACACTGTGCAACCTGGTGCACAGTCCAAACTGCCACCAGCCACCCGACACTCTCGGAGGACCCGTTCAACTTCGGCAACTTGTTCTTGGCCATCACACTCCGCTTTCCGGAGGTGGAGCTGTGGTTCTTTGAAGGTTGATGGTGATGGCATGTACCTGCAGCATCATGCAGTGTATATGTATATACGCATGTCAATGTATGCATTCATGTTATTTCCGTATATGTGTTTCTCTGTTTGATGACCATAATCATGTCTCCTGTTAGTGAGCACACAGGCGGTCTATGACATAACTAGGTTTGTCATGCTTGCACAGAAGTTACGTGCAACGGATCTTCACAGCTTGGCTCAGCATGCGCCTTCAACACTGGACTCACAAGTGTCGGACCACTTGAAGAACCAGGCCCGAACATGTGCGTGCATGGATGTTTGCATAATATTTACGTACACACACACACACCGAATTATAATAACGCCTTTGTCGACTCAGGCTTTGCGATGTCAAGGCTTTCAGTCTCACATGCTTAGGGATGTGAGTTGCCCTGTTTAATATTGGTGCATGTTCTTGAGGGCTGGGGCTTCAAGTTTTCAGGGTTTTGACTGCTTTCGCCGGGTGTTTACGGTAAAGGGCTGCAGAGTTCAGCAGAAGGATCACCCGGATCTACGAAAACAGGCGCTCACCCAGTCGACGGCCAAGCAACTGCAGGTGCTTCTTGGACCCGAGGTGCAAATAGCAGAGCCGGGTAGTTGCAGGCTGGGTTGGGCTTAAGTACTTCCCAGTTGTGTCTTTACTTCATTTTACTTCAGTTTTGTGCCAGGCTGTCCACACGTACAGGAGCAGTAGAGGTGCGAAGTTGTCCTTTTGCTTGGCTTTGTTTGTTGCCCGTGTTTGTCGAGGTTGACTCCCTAATGTGAGCTCACGATTAGTAATGGTCCCCTCAATAGAGCTAAACTCGGCCTGGAACTCAATAGTGGAGCAGGCCCTCAGAGGAGCTAAACTCGGCCTGCACGTAATAGTAAACTCCCCCTCAATAGTCGTAGTCTAGGTAAATAGACACTCCTGCTACAAAGTGCCGGTCTGGAAGAGGAGAGACAGAGACGAGACCTCAAGCCTCAAGGCTTCAGAGATTCAGGCCAAAGCTCCAAACTCTGGTTTTGCACGATTGCCAGATCTATAGGTTTCTAATACAAACCCCTTGAAAAAACATCTCATCAACTTTTCTAAGGGGTATAGCTCGGATGAAAAAGCCCCCTCAATAGTGCAGCGGCCTGCCGGGGGCCTCCAGAGCAGCGAAGCAGAATCCCCGTCTGTATTCAATACCATAAGGCCTCTATATAGAAATCTACAGGGATTCAGGCCAAGCTAAGCTCCAAACTCTGGTTTTGCACGGCTGCCTGTACTACTGTACTACTGTACTACTATTGTACTACTGTACTACTACTGAAAGCCCCGGCCCCCAAACAACTTAGACCCCGGCCCCCCAAACAACTGAAGATCATCCGGGAGGCGGACATGTTCAGGGCGGGGATGTCTCATCAGGAGATCACATTACTATGACACCGTGCATTTCTTTTCCTTTCGCTCAAGATTGCCCGCTGATCGCCTGAATTAAGGCGCAGCACCAAGGCTGGGTTTGCGTATAATAGGAGCAACGTTTAAACCTTAATCCCAGGCACAGCGTACATGGGGGCCGTATTCCTCTTCATAGACATAGCACTACAGGCATGAACAGTTCTGCTGTAGTCGCAAGTTTGATTATTAGCAATACGGGTCTCTGTGGAGCCGAAGGAGTCACCCGAGCCAGAGGACTTGGACGAGGCAAGGAGTTCTTGCAGGATTTTGGTGTTACTGCTCAACATCTGCTCAACTGAAGGAGATGAAAGAATCTGTACCAAAGTTGCCTGAAATGGTAGGAAGATGTGGGAAATGTTGGTCATGGTGCTTGCCATCGGTCCAAGAGCTTTACCACCAGGGCTGTTCGTCTTCCGGCTCAGGGCTACGTGCCTCCTCACTGAAAAAGTACAGTGTAGCAGCCTCACCTCACACGGTTTTGATCGACATGAAGAGCTTGGCACAAGTCCTCGCACCGGTGCTATTGTGCATCGCTTCCTGCTGCGCTGTGTCTCCCAGCGCGCTGTGCGAGGACCTCGATGCCACAACGAGCGAGGTCAGCCTTCTCCAGACCGGGAAGCTGGGCCTCGTGCAGACTCTGACTTCCCAGACCGGAAGTAAGCAAGCCCAGACTGAGACGAGAGAGACCAACTTTGCAGAAGCGGCCTCTAAGGTCGGCTTAGGAGTTCCGGTGGCCGTCATCCTGGGCTCCTGCATCGCTATCTTCATCCTGGGCAAGACCGCAGCCTCCGTCAAGGAGTACGCTGCTTATGCGGCTGAGTTTGCTGGCACCTTTGCGCTGGTTTTCACCGTTGGCTGCTGTGTGGCCACCGGGAGCGGCGTTTGGAATGCCACCGCCATTGCCTGTGTGCTCATGGTCATGGTCTATGCCACAGGGCCCATCTCGGGGGGGCACCTCAACCCGGCCGTTACCCTTGCCCTCGCCTTGGCAGACAAGTTTGATTGGGAGCAGGTGCCGGTGTACTGCGCCACACAAATCGTCGCCGGCATCGCGGCGGGCAGTTGCACCGCCTCGCTGCTCAGTGCTCCCGAGCCCCTGGCACCCGCTGGCGACTTCACCTGGTCCTACGCCTGCGTCGTGGAAACCATCTACACTTTCATGCTCTGCTTCGTGGTCTTGAACTGCGCAGCCTCCATTCGCAACAATGAGGCGAAAGATGGCAACCAATTCTTCGGCCTCGCCATCGGCTTTGTGATCATCGCTGGTGGCTATGCTGGTGGGCCTGTCTCTGGCGGATGCTTCAATCCGGCCGTGGCCTTCGGCGTGGACTTCTCCAGCAAGGCAGGCCTTGGCTGGAGCTTCGCATGGGTTGGCTTTGAGATGGTGGGAGCTGCCCTAGCCGCGTTGGCTTTCCGCGTGGCTACTTGGCTGTCTGGTCTCTGCCCGGCACGGTGTACCTAGTCACTCGTCCATCTCTCTCTCTATCTCCATCTCTGCCTCTCTATGTATCTCTCTCTACCTCTCTCTCTCTCTCGCTCTCTGTCGCTCTCTCTCACACACCGTCTTCACGTGCATTTGTCTGTCTGTCGATCAATCCGTCTGACGGTAGAGCTGTCATTCATCTCAACGTAGCTTGACCTACTTCATTGTATGTGTTTTTGTGATGTGTTCTCGAGCTCCTCAGTCAGCCTTTGGTCCAACCCTGTGTCGTCTGGATGTTCGGGTATCGTGTTTCATTTTCAAGCTTGTTCGATTTTTGAATTCTTAAATGGCCTCGGTTAGCTGGTTTATAAGCATCTTTGCTGCAAGTCTCGCCACCTTGAGATCAAGCCCCATGGGCGAATGACGAAAGTCTATCACAACAGGGTGGTTCCGTGTCAGCCGTTCTTTTCTCTCACTCATAACCCACGGCCTTCCCGTGCCTACTCGACAATCCATCAATCCATCATTTTGTTCGTTGTTTTAGTTTCATGTGTGCAGTTTTCCTCATGCAAGCAAATCCATTACAGGTCCGGAGGGGTGTTAGTGCGACCGCGAAGACAGGAGCACCTCTGAACTTTTTTCGTGATGAAAGATATTCTGTCTTCAAGTACATACGGATGAATGACCTTTTCTCATTGCTTATTATGGATTTTTCACGGCGGGCATATGTTTTTTTGCAGACGGCGGCCCAATAAGCGAATTGCAAGCCGGCATGTCCATATTATATTCAATCATTCCTGCTTGCTTGCATATGACCACATCTAGTCCTTGTTTCGTTACAACATCAGGTTATCTCAACTTGATCATGTTGCTTCCATGACGTTGGGAGCCCCAGAATCGACCAAGGTCCGCCCCGAGGATTACGGCGGGGACAGCAGCCTCAGCCCTTACGAGCCCTGTCTATGCAGTTCTGTTCAATGGCCGGGACAGGTATTGTTGCATCAGGGTTGGAATCCGTAGCATTATCAAGGCGTATATAGAGCTGCTGAAAGCCATCGTCTAGTGAGGCCTCTCTGTATCTATCTGTATATCCATAATTCTACGTTGTCATGTTCCTAGGTATGTACAGACTGTGTTTGTATCTACAGCTATATCTATATCTATCTCTCTATATATAAATATAAATATATATATATATATATAGAGGTACAGGTATACACACTGACAGCTATATATATATACACACATGTATGTATGTATGTATGTATGTATGTATGTATGTATGTATGTATGTATGTGTGCGTACCCATATTTTGGTGAATGTTCAGGATTTGGCGGTGCGGTTCTGATGTACTTGGCCTCTGCTCAGTTTCGTTAATGACTTAAACAGATTTTCCATCTGCGCTGCTCCTGTTGTCGTTCGAGCTACTGTAGGGCAGAATTGCTTTCAACTGCCCACCCCAGGAGCCACCTCTCTACGTGAAACTCGTCAGCGAGTTCCTGGGAGTCTTCATGCTGCTGGGATCCGGCTTATGGCCGTAGAGGGTTTAGGGTCTTGGGCTTTAGATGGTCTACAGGTTCAGAGCCTTGGTTTCGCGTGTGTCGGACGTGCACCCTCTGAGCAAAGATGCAAGAGACTCATGCCCGCAACCCCGCACGCTAGAGCCATCTAGAGCCGCTAGAGCCATTGAAAACCAGCCCCATGTATGCTGTCCAAGTAGCAAGCGGAAGACTGAGCAACGAAGGCGAGACAAAGTCTCTTAACGGCAAAGGTTTCTCCGAAGCCTCAGTTCTGAAGATTTGCCGTAAAGACCCTGGAAGAGCAACCGCACAGCAGTTGGACCAGTTTAGAGCTTGAGTCCTGAAGCCCAGAAGCTGACTCCACCAAAGCCCCAAGACTGAACAACCTGCTAAGCCCACGGCTGACCACAAGCCCGGAAGCCTCCTCGACTTGAAACTCTTTGCGTACGTATTTTGACAGGTTGCATATGCATGGAACACACTGCAGCCGTCCGCACCTACACATCCATAAATTCATTCAATCATTCATTCATAAGACAAACATGTGTGCGTGTGTGTGCACGCGCCGGTGTGGGTACTCTACCTCTACAAAACCATCGATCCTGCGTCCACATTCCCCATGCCTGAGCATGCATCTTTCGCAGCTTAGCGATCGTTAACGCCCAAGGCTTGTCCTCACCGTCGGCCTCAACGTCGTCCTTGGCTCGGCCTCTACCGCCTGGTCGGCTGCAGCAGCCCTGATGTGCATGATCTATTCCCTGGGAGACTCGGAATTTATTGGTGTCTTAAACTGAGGCCTTTGAAGCTGAAAATGTGATGGCCTGGGTATGAGGGTGTAGTGTTTAGGAAGCTCGGAATTGGGTTCAGACTTACTTGTCCATCTGGCTGAAGAGAATGTCAAGGATCGGTTTTCAGAGTGCAGGGTTCAGGCTTCAGGACCTTGCACATCCGGTGCCATGCTACCAGACCTCTGTCCTTCTCCCAAGAGCGGAGATGAGGAGATGTTTCGGGCGCGCACTTCAACCCCGCAGTGTCCCTGGCCGTCTGCCTTCGTGGCAAGTGCAGTGTGCCGGATCTCCTGACCTACATCCCTGTTCAGCTATTGGCCGGTGCATCTGCCGGTGCAATCGTGAGCATGTTCCATCAGCTCAGTTCTGGCAAAGATGCGGCCCACTTCCTTCAACCCGGCAAGGACCGAGCTTCGCAACTGCATTCTGCACGCCTTCCTAGTAATGCCTTCGCAGCCTGCATAAAGCTACCCAAGAATTTAAACCCGAACGCTTTGACCTGGCTTATGACGACGACACATCCAGGACCAGGACGGCGACAGCCTACTGCTGCTGCTACTGCTGCTACTGCTGCTACTGCTGCTACTGCTGCTACTGCTGCTCCTGCTGCTGCTCCTACTACTACTTCAACGACGACGACTACCGGTCCGGCCAAGACACAACGAAAGGAACGAGTTGGAGCGAGCTTTTCAGTTTAGATCCCCGAAACCTTCGAGCCCTCCAAAAACACAGCCAGGACCACACCCTTGCGCAGGCTGGGGTCGCAGAGATGATTTTTACGTTTGTTCTTTGCTACGTGGTCTTGGCTACTGCCACCACTGCGAAGCCAGAATCTCAGCAGACGAATCTGGGACATGTTGAGCAGAAGTCGTGTATCGAGTTCGGAGATGTCGCAACTTTTCCTCCTCTGCCTGCAACAGTGAACCAAGAGAATTTGCAAGCCCAGGAAGCAGAACTTCTATTTCGGCTTGGCCATCGGCTCCTGCGTCACGGCCGGAGGCATTGCCTCCGGGGCAATTTCCGGCGGTGAGCTGAACCCTGCTGTCAGCACTGGACTGGCCATGGCCAGCTCCATGTTCTCCCCCGAGGGCGCCACCATCGCCGAGGGCTCGAGCCACGGCTTAGGCGACTCCTCCCCCTAGTATCCCCTAGCGGTGAGGACAGCAAGGCAGTGAGTCTCGTGATAATCCTGAAATGCAGCCCGACGCGACCGAGGACATGGGGTAACCTGCTGCGTTTCAGCGCCTACGAGCTCGCAGGCGGTTTGCTGGCAGCGCTGCTGTTCCAGGTGACCCACCCCAAGGTGTCGAGGTATTCACTTAGCCTGTCTTCTGCTGTCCTGACTCTTTAGGGTGGCTGCAGACATAGGAGACAAGTTGACGAAACCGATATCTCCTTTGAAACCGTTGTGCCACTTCACGTTTCATGTAGAATGCCTTGCTGTTGGCAAATGACACGCTGATGATGCTGATGTAATTGTCAAACTGAGGAGTTGGGCAAATCGGGCATGTGGATCTCCTGCTTCGCTGCGGAATTCCTGGGCACCTTCGTTTTGGTCTTCACCGTGGTCTGCAACGTGCTGGCCGGAGACCCGAACTGGTCGCCCACGTCCATTGCCTGCTCGCTTATGGTGATGATCTATGCGACCGGTGGAGTGTCCGGAGGCCACCTGAACCCCGCTGTGACGTTTGCTGTTACCCTCGTCACGAACGATTGGTCTGGCAAGTTCTTGGGCTACTGGCTCTCACAAGTTTTGGGCGGTGTCGCCGCAGGTTTCGCAGCCTGCAGCTTGCATACGACCGTTGCCAACATCGAGGCCAAGGCCCCCTACCAGACCTCCCATGCCCTCATGGCCGAGCTTATCTACACCTTCATGCTGGCCTTTACGGTGCTAAGTGTGGCGGTGTCAAAGCGAAACAATTCCAGCAAAGATGGAAATAACTTTTACGCTCTTGCCATCGCCTGGACCATCGTCGCCGGAGGCTATGCTGTCGGCGGTGTCTCTGGCGCAGCTTTCAACCCAGCTGTGGCCATCGGCCTTGATATCTCCAGCTACAGCGTGTCTCGGCTGGGAATATAAGCAGAGACTGATGACCAACAGCATGCTGCATCGTCTTGTCTGACTGCCTACCTTCTATGATGTGCTCTCTCTCTCTCTCTCTCTCTCTCTCTCTCTCTCTCTCTCTCTCTCTTCGTCTCTCTACTCTACTTATATTCCTTCCCTCTCTGTTTCTCGTGCTCTTTGTTTCGCTCTGTTCCCCCGGCAAATAAAGTTCAAGTCAAGCAGGACCTCCACCCTACTGGTAAAAGCATACCAGGCAGGGGTTGGCATGGGCTTCCTTTGGGCCCTCTTCGAGCTCCTGGGAGGAGGCCTCGCTGCCGCCATCTTCCGATTGCTCCTTGCACATTCTTAGGACTTCATTTTTTTGGCATTCCGGCAGTCAGGCATGTCGGAGTTGTCTTTGAGCTTAGGGCGTAAAGGAAGGTTTGGGCACCTTGAGGAACTTAGGATTGTAGGGCTTCAGGGTTCTGCTGGCTTCGGGGATTTGGGTTTTAGGGCTTCAGGCGAGTTTGAATATATGCTGTGCGGTTTAGGCTGTTTTCATGCTGAAGCTACCGCTGTTACATCAACGAAAACTAAAGCTGGGTTTCATTAACACATGGCCATCGAGATGGTGGTAATGTTATCGAAATGGGCATTTTGGGAGCAATCGCGATTAGTAGTAGCTGCCGGAACTGGCAGAGTGGCAGCAGGAGCAGTAGTTGTCGTCAAATAAAGTAGTAGTGACATGGACCAACAACCGCTGACAATAACAACGACGCTTTCTTGAAGTTAGGGAGAGTGGCTGCGGAGACATCACTCAAACTCAGACTTAAGAAGTAAGGCTCCGACCCGAAGAGTCCTTGGAGGGCCCAGCGCTGGAGAGCTATGAACCATCGATTCCCGGCATTGCTCAGAATCTGTTGGTTTACACCTCTTAGGTCTTGGGTTTGGGAACGCCCTTTGTCTGTAGACGCTTGCATGCGCACGCACGGGCGGTGAGTTTGTTGGTTTGTTTGTTCGTTTGTGTGCTTGCTCGTTTGTTTATGTGATTGACTGGCTCGTTGATTGATTGAGTGAATGGGTGTGATTTAGTGAATTTAGTGTTCGATTGATAATTGACTGACTGATTGGCTGGTTGACTGATTCGCTGATTGATTGAGTGAGTGAGCGAGTGTTTGATTGTTTGATGGATGGCATGTATATGTAAGCTCATTTCTTTGTGCACACATACTAACACACATACAGGCATATATATATATATATATATATATAAATATATAAATATATAATTAAATAAATATATATATATGCTCACCCCCCCCCCGGTGACAGACCACGGGTCTAAAAAACACCGTGCACAACGATATTCTGTGAAGCAAAACCGTTACATGAGGTATATAGTATAGCACCAGACGTGCGGCACATGAGTTACGTAATAGTCTTGTGGTAGTATCGGTATTAGGGTGAGTATTGTTGTTAATATTAGTACTATTGCTTGCTGTAAGTATACGTATCAATATTGCCAACTATAAATTAGTGTTAGTGCTCATGTTCGTGTTAGAGTTAGCGCTAGTGCCAGTGTCAATGTCAGTAATACAGCACCACTGCTACGAGTAGTATCAGTATCAGTCTTAATGCTGGGTTTAACAGCAGCTTATATTCGCAGAAGTGCTAGTATTAGTATCAATATTAGAACTAGTTAGTTTTGATATGTTAGTATATTGATAGTCTCGTATATTAGCAGATTAGTATATCAATACATCAATGTATTCGGACAGCAAAATATTTGCATACTTGTATACTAGTATATTTTACATGTTAGTACAACTGGTGCATGACTACACTACTATACTGCTGTATTAGCTTACTAGTATATTGACATACCAGTATATTCGTACGTTAGCATATTAGTGTACGAATATGTGTACTATATTACTGTTTTATCTAATCATGTATAAGTATATCAGTATGTTGGCATATTAGTATACGAACTTGTCATGTCGGTATTCTTGCATAGTGCAGTAGCCGTATATGATTATAGTCACATATTCGTATAGTATATTCATACAACAACGAGAAGTATATTGATACATTGGTATATGGGTATATGCCTATGCCAAAGCATTAATACATGAATGCACTGATGTATATATCTGTATCTTAAGATAGTGGTACGTATTTTATGTGCATGAGTATATGCAGGTGTCTATTAGTAATGGTATTAGTTTTCATATCAATATGAATATACTATTGGTATTCGTAGGAGTATTAATGTCAATACTAGTAGAAGTAGGACTATTTATACTCGTAATAGCCATAATATGAGTGTTCATGCTGGTAATACTAGTGGCATTCTTGAATATGCAGCAGATTATCAAAGTCCGTATTAGTGTTGGTGATAGCACTACTGTTAACGCACAAGGGTTTACGTATTCGTATTCGTAGGAGTATAAATAGCTATGTAAATATTGATGTTAGTATAGATTTTGTGTTAAGTATTAGCAGTAGTGTTAGCGTTAGTACTATCATATTATTGATGATATACATTCGAAAGAATGTTTGTATTGTTATTACTCTTGACCACGTGAAATTCTAACAGTTGAATTCATGAGTGAGTTAAAGGATTTGTATTTTAATATGGTGGTATGCATGTTTATGTACATTAGTACATACAGGTGTGTGTTAGTATTGGTATTATTATACATTATTATCAATATGAATATGGTTATTGATATGCGTAGGAGTACTAAGAGCAATACTAATCAATCTTAGTATTTGTGTTATGCATATTCGTACTAAGCTTTATAGAAGTGTAATATTAGTAGTAATGCTGGTATTAGCTTGAGCATTCAACAAATGATCAATGTCAGTATGTTCAATGGCAATACTATATGTAGGAGTATCAATACATATATGTATATATAGATATACAGATAGATAGAGAGATATTCGTGTAAATATGGGCATGAGTATTGACAGCCCTTGCCTTTGCAAGTAATCTGGTCCGATGCGGAGACTAGCACGACAAGGCGCGCGGGTGTCCTACCAAGAAAGGAATTACAGAGCACACGTGTATGGATGAGGGTTGTGCTGATACACTACATAGTAAGCACTACACAGTAATCTTACTTGAGTCATATATAGAACAGATTCCAGCATTTCCAAAATTTCCAAAATTTCCAAAATTCTCTCCCCTAACTTTCCGCATTTCCAAAATTTCCAAAATTTCCAAAATTTCCAAATTTCCAAAATTTCCAAAATTTCCAAAATTTCCAAAATTTCCAAAATTTCCAAAATTTCCAAAATTTCCGAATTTTCCAAAATTTCCAAAATTTCCAAAATTTCCAAAATTTCCCGACCTAGTCGACAGGATTTTTCCAAAACATAAGGGCGGACTTTTTGGAAATTTTGGAAATTTTGGAAATTTTGGAAATTTCGGAAATTTTGGAAATTTTGGAAATCCGGAAAGTTAGGGGAGAGAATTTTGGAAATTTTGGAAATTTTGGAATTGAGGCTTTGAAAGCTGAGTGCCCCCTCCCCCCGATCACAGACCATGCACTACGACTGAGTCGAAAGGGCATGGTCTGTCATGGGGGGGGGGGGTGACCATATATATATATGTATTAAAGCGGTATATAGACAGATGGATAGGTGGATATCTGGACCGACAGATAGATCGACAGAGAACTAGGTTTGGTTCGAGGAGATTAGATAGATAGAGAGACAGATAGGCAGAGACAGAGAGAGAGAGAGAGAGAGAGAGAGAGAGAGAGAGAGAGAGAGAGAGAGAGAGAGAGAGAGAGAGAGAGAGAAAAAGTGGCTTTAGCTTGCACCGGGGTCTACATTTGACTTTCACCCCCCAAACAAACCTGATAAATCATATCGGGTGGGCAAGATGCCCGGGGGTCCTGACCGACCCCTATGCCCGAACGAGAGAGAGAGAGAGAGAGAGAGAGAGAGAGAGAGAGAGAGAGAGAGAGAGAGAGAGAGAGAGAGAGAGAGAGAGAGAGCGAGCGAGCGAGCGAGTGAGTGAGCGAGCGAGATAGATGGAGAGATCCATACATTTACATAAAGATACCAGTACATAACGAAGTTGGTCTGTATGTATGCATATGCATATGTAGATGGACATGTTTTGTGCGTATGTGTTAGCATATGTGTGAACACAAATATGTGGATGTTTTACATATATATATATAGATATAGGCATACAGGTATACATATGCAGATGCAGATGCGGATATGTGGTAGGCCATCGGGATGTTCTTCAGTGAGGTGGTGAGCGAGCGAGCGAGCGAGCGAGTGAGTGAGTGAGTGAGTGAGTGAGGCAGACCCCAGAGCTGCAGAGACCGGCTCCGAGTGAGTACTGCGCACCATGGCGGACCCGATGCACCCTCGACCGTGACAAGGCTCTCGAAACCCACCCGGACAAGACACTGGGCAAACGTGCCACCTGCACCTTCCCAGCAAGGGAAATATGCCAGGACGGCCGGCATAAAGGGCAAACCACATGATGCACCTCTCCGGTTCGAATGGCTCTTCCCCACGCAATCGCTCGGGACTCGGGACGGACGGTAGTCGGCAAGGTTTACATTTGGCCAAGACTCTTCCTGCTGGATCCGCGGGTACGCAGCAGCCATCCAGCCCCTGTAGGCCCGCATCCGCTCATATCAAACAATATGCCACTCCCCTGATGGCAAGCTCATAAACAGGATTCTCTCAGTCTGAATGGATGGCACAACGCCTGCAACTCACCGCAGCACAAGAGGGCAGACCGTCTTAAGTGATTTCCAGTTTATTTGTGCATAGTTCGTCGGAAAGAGGGAAAACCTAGCAACACCTGCGCTCACGAGTTCAGGCTCAGAGGCTCTCCCTCTTTCTGTCTGTCTCTCGCTCTCTACCCCTCTCTATCTCTCTCTTTCACTGCCTTTGCCTCTCTATTTCCGGTAGAGTACATCGAATGTTCACACAAATGTGAAGGGGTCTTGCACGTTTGTTTGCATGCTTGCGTGCGCAACTCTATGTGCGAACGGGTATATGAGTGTCGGCAGGTGTTGGCAACCAGTGCAACACCATGGAAGCTGAAAGCTTTGTAATGGGAGGCGGAGTGAATGCGGCATGACCAAGGATTCTCGTGAAGCTGCTCAGTGAGTTCCTGGGCGTCTTCATGCTTGTCCTGACTGTGGGCTTGAACCTGGTCTCTCAGCGGCAGTCGGATCCTCCGGAACTCAAGCCTAATGTTCTGTGGCAGAGTCGTTCCGATCCTCACTCATCATCATCCTGTTATAGTTTGAAAGATAGAAGCTGTAAGCCTCGATGTGAATCATATAGGACACTGCAGTAGGCAAGTTTGTACTCCCTTTTTTGGCGATTGGGAGCCCTGAATAGCATGTATTCTAGACAGACTTGTCGACCCTGTACTGCCGCCTCATGAGCGTCTTGGGAGCTTCTGAGCGAATGAGAGCTCAGGTGAACGACTCTCCTGCCACTGCTTGGTCTGCTGCTGCAGCCTTGATGTGCATGATCTATTGCTTGGGAGACCCAGCCGAGCAAGAGCGTTTTCGGTTTCATGCTGTGATTTTGAGGTTCATGCTGTTGGCTAGATATTCAGCTGTGACAGGTACCAACGCTTATCCCCCAATCATACGGGCAGCACTAACAAGTAGAAGTTAGCGTCGCTATCTGGTTTGGAATTTTGCAGTATGTCAATCGATCTGGTATCTTGAGCCTCCAGTCGCAGTCGTGCCAGCATCCGCACCACTAGAATGCTGGCAGCGCCATTGTTCATAGCTTTTCTAAAATGGGGCCCCCGAGCTCACACCACCAGAAATCTGCTCATTTCAAGACCCTTCTGGGAACCCAGGCTCCTATTTGTATCTTGTCCCCATCTACTACTGTACTTCGTAGATTCCCTTCAACACTACGGAGGCGACATCTCCGGCGCTCACCTCAACCCTGCTGTAACGATGGCCGTTGTGGCCAGCGGCCGGAAGTTGTGCTGCGGCCTGACAGGTGTCGCTTATGCTGCGACGCAGTACCTCAGATGCTATAGCATATGCCTTAACGCACGGATGGATGGATGGATGGATGGATGGATGGATGCATATGTATGTCTTGTTTAGATAAAAGATATCTGTATACATAGCTGCAAAGCAAGCTGTTTCATGCATGTAGTAGGTGTGTTTACGGATTGGTTGCATGTGTATGTTTGGTGGCGATGTTTCGATTCCAACTTGAACTGGCCATCCAAGCTTTCAGCGAACCTTCACACCCAATGGGATTTATGGCCTTCAGATCCCTACGAAACGGCCAGAAAACTCCCATCAAATTACCCATGGGCCAAGATATCTCGCTGGCGCGGCAGCCGGCCTCGTCTACTCGGTTTTCCATGCTGCAGGGCCGAAGGCCGACTCATACGTCGGCCTGGCTCCAGGTAAGGGCTTCTCGCTTGCCCAGGCCGGGACTCAAGTGTGGCGATTTGCCCTTAGCCTCAGGCTTTGGGATGGGGTTGTGTTGCCGACTTGCCGTGCTACTTTTCTGACCTTTTTATCTAGAGAAGCATATAGCAATCGCAGTATCGCCACAAGGCCATGCGATCTAATGCTGCGGAAGCAGAACTCTTGAGTGGAGCGGCATCGAAAGAACCAGCCATTTTGAAAGAAGAAATGCATGACTATCTAAAGACATTCATGCATCATTGTATGCATGTCAGTTGATTATTTGCCTGTTCGTCTTGTTTTGCTGACTGTGACTAGGCATGCATCTCTGTTTTCATCCAATGTATTACGGGCATGTCTAGATTCAAGTTCATGCGTGCATGCACGCACGGGCGGATGGACGGCTGTATACATATATACATATATATATATATATACATACATACACACACACACACACACACCGGCTAGGTGTGTGTATGCGCATCTATGCATGTCGGTCTGAATGTATGTAATGCACATACATGTGTGGGCATATGTGTGTACTTATCTGTATATGTACTGTAATGGTAAGTGTGCAGGTACATAACGTATTAAACCTATTCATGTTATTGCAGGTGTGTATTGTATAATATTGTTCAGTCTAGTATAGTATCATATCGTACTCGTATAGTATAGCAGAGCACATTTTAGCATAGTCTACTATAGTACTATAGTATGTACGCACGTCCGTGTGTACACGTGGTTGTATGCTGTGCGTTCCGCTCCCCCCGCCCAATGGATTAGCTTAAGGGCATGTGTGGACAGGATCCTGTTCCGGGCAGGGAGGGGGGGGGAACTCCGAAGCTCAAGGCCCAAGCCTTTCCATAGGGGCGGGAGGGTGGATCCAGACAGGGAAGCTCAAGTGGCGGGGGGGGAAGGGGGGATGACCAAATGTGGGGACACCATTAGGGGCGACGGGGTGCATGAATGTAATGTTTCTGTTTATGTACGTGCGTGGGTATGTATGTACGTGTGCATGTGTTTTTATTTTGCTGTTTCTGCTTGTGCGTAAGTAAGTAAGTAAGTAAGTAAGTAAGCAGGCAAGACAGTATGTTTGTGTGTATATTTGTGAATGCATGCATGCATGCATGCATGCATGGGTGCATGTATGTATGTAGGTATGTAGGTATGTATGTACGTTATGCTATGTTATGCTACGTTACGCCTTATTGTGCGATGTATTGTTATGTCATGTTATGCATGCATGGATGGATGTATACATGCATGCATGGATGGATAGACGCAGGTAGGTAGGTAGGTCGGGCGGTGTGCAGTCCTCCACGGCCGGCTGGAGCCGCCATCGCAGCGCGAGGTCTCTTCTTGCGGCGAGTGAAGAAGTAAGTATGTACGTATGTATTTATGTATGTGTGTATGATTGTGTATGTGTATTCGTACATGCATGCGCATATGTTTCTGTTTATTTGTGTATGCATGTGTATGTTTTGTACTTAAATACCTACACACACACATACACGTGCGTGCATATGCATGAATACATAATACGTGCATCCGGGACTGCACGCGTACATGTACAACACATCATATACACACGTACACACCTGCGTGCATACATGCGCGCATACAATAAAAGCCTACACATATACACGTGTACATATACATATAAACATTCAAACATACAAACATAAACAGATGAGTATATGTGCATAGATATATATACACACATATGTATATATCATATACATATACGGTGGGTATGTACATATGCATACACAAACAGTCACAAACATATATATGTGTACAGTCTTTCGGTATGTATGTATGTGCATGCGTATGTATGTCTGCATGCTTGCATGTATGCACGTGTGCACGGATGCATGTATGTACTTAGGTCCTGTGTGCGTAAACTTGCATCAGCACGTGTGCGTAAGCACGGGGTCGACACACACACACACACATATATATATATGTATATATGTATACATACATACATACATACATACATACATACATACATATTTATTCTAATGTTCGCATATATGTATATACACATACACACATATACATCTTTGCTTACATTGTTTCGGTTATTTTCATTTATATTTGACATACGTGTGTGCATGAATTTATATATATATACACAACTATATATATACACATATATATATATATACACACATGTTTACATACATATATATATATATATATACATATATATACATATATATATATATATGTAGAATTCAACCTCCTCAAGGCCTTAACAAGTCTTAGTCTTTGTAGCTTACATGTCCCAAACTGCAGCCCTAAAGCCGACAATCCGAAGGCTGGCCTTGCAGAGCTTGCTGCAACTATGTTGCTGGCCTACATCGTGTCTTGTTCTCGAGCAAATCTCGGGTCTCGATGTGTTTCCCATACAAGGTCGATAGCACCCAAGTAGAATCGGAACTGCATTGATCGAACGTGAGCATGCCAAGCAGGTACTCAGCTGTGCCACTGTTCCCCCGGCGGGCGGCAATACCAAGACAAAGAACAGCTTCTACTTTGCATTGGCCATCGGTTCGTGCGTGACGGTCGGCGGCTTCGCCATCGGTGCCGTGTCTGGAGGCGAGCTGAACCCAGCAGTGGCTCTGGGCATCTCGACGGCCAGCACCATGCATCACCCCGATGGCATGGAGAGCGAGTCCTTCTCCAACTTTGTTCGCCTTGGCATCTTTGAAGTCTCAGCGGGCCTTGCCGCCGCGGCTGCCTTCAAGGCGAGCCACAGCCAGATCTATGCCGATATGGCTGTGGAAACTGGCAAGTAACTTCGGCCCAGTCTCCCCCGACTTCGATTTATTCGGTTGTAGGGCGGCTGCAAGGTTGGCCGCGCTGTGAAGGCATGCCAATAACTACAGCGTGCGATTCGGGGCGCTCAACCTTAGAGGTAGCGCAGGCCTCCGGCTTGAAAGATGGGATGTGCAGTAGATGTTGCTTGTGACGGCGAGCTCAGAGATGTAAAACGGCTGAAGTTGCAAGGACCTATAGCCACAACTTGAAATACATTCCGACTCCAACCGAGGCATGCTCGCATTGAAATGAACGGCAACCTTCTTTCTCGGGTTTCTTGTTGCTTACTATCGGGCTCAAGGCTCGACAGTGCCAGGCAGATGTTGAGGAGGCTGTTGCGGAGGATCTGGACCCGATCGAGTCGGCAAAGCAGTCGCGGAAAGCCACCACGCAGGTGGGCTTGAGATGACCGAGCGATTCGTTAGTATCCTTTTGACTTATGACGGTAATGAGCAGCACTGGTAGTTGTCGGACTAGAGGAGGCTTGTAGGAGGCTCCAAGTAAGTGCAATCTCTTGGGAGAGCACCTGCCGCAGGCTTATGACGAGGACGAGGATGCGCGCTGAACCAAGCTTGCCCGAGTCCGGGTATTCCTCAGGATGACTGCTCAATGGAGATTCCTGCAACTGCCGAGCACAGAGTCTTAAGCAGCAATCCGACTGTTCCGATGCAAAGGCATCCTCATGGCATCGAGTGCAAGCACCAATGACGCGCCGGCACCGTGCATGTGTCACCGTTTTTCTAAACCCGAACAGTTAAAACTTCCAATCGGAGTGGCTGCAGCTGTTACTTACACAGAGAAGATTGTTGGTCCCAGGACCTCATGCAGCAGATGCTCTGAGGTAAACTACATAGTTGCCGATGTGTTAAACCAAATGGCCGCCGAATGCACACCTGCTTTCCGAGGTGCAGACATTGCTGGAATGTTTCTATGTGTCGGCTTTAAGTTGTTCATGCATATCGTCGTCTGCACATCAAGCAGCATTTTGGGCACATCTATTGGCAGCACAGCCAGCATGTGCATAATGGATCTCGCAACCAATTGTGGCCAGAGTTTCCCTTTGCGTGGGGCATCGCCGGGCGCCCGAAAAGCACGACTGATTGGAGTTGACTGCCGCACGGTTCACACTCGACGATGGCCAAGTGCACGCAAAGCAGCGACCACCCGGATCTACCGGGTGTCATAGCGACCCCTTCGTCGACGAAGGCGCCCCAAATTCAGGTGCTTCCTGAGCACGTCTCCAGTCCTCTCAACGGCTCAAACGCCCACACGCCCGAAACCTGTTGGTCTGAAAGCCCTTGTCACTGAACGTCGGAAGCTTGCTGTTTGAGACGATACACGCCCGACGTCTGAGCTGGCTTCAGGGGATTTCAGCTGATTGGCCTACTCGGGCTTGCGAAGACACGCGTGCGCATTGCTATTGTTGGCTTCACTAGCTTCGAAGCTGGTCTAGTTGGATTCATGAAGCTTTCTTAGGGGATGAGTATGTAACCTTTAACTTTTGGGGGCTTATACCAGCCTACTATGTTTCAAACGGCTAGCCTTGTCTGGGATAGGGTTCTCAGCCCTGAGCTTCGCAGCTGTATGGTCATGCTACTTTATGCATAAAACGTTGATCGCTCTGCAATTGCTATTGACATTGGATACTGACTCCTGCTAGTGGGAGCTACATCAGGACCTTCGTCCGACGACATTGGCCATTCTGCACACCCACTAGTACGGGATGCGTGGTCAAGGTTTAGATGAGAGGGTTTTTTCAGCGAAAAGGACGCCCTGGAAACGCTTTGCAAGGACAGGCGTCTGCTGCCCGCAGGCTAGACGGACTGGAGACAGCCGGGCTTGCGGAAGATGCACGCAATCTCTGAACCGGGGACTGAACTGTTTCGTGACAGATCGTACAAATAATAACGTCGCGGTTTAGCCTGCTTGTCTGCCACGGCATGACAGCCCGGGTCAGAGGTTGGGCTGGAGCGCGGCCTCTTTACATCGATTGATGGAAAAAGGCGTGGAGGACCCGCCAAATTGGAGTCCAAGACACCTGGAGCCCAAACGCCCAAACGAGTGATGCCACCGCACGAGATCATGTCGGCATCCATGAACTACAGTAGCATCCGGCAAACTGCGAGCCGTCCTCGTATTTCACATAGCTACATCGAAGGAGCATGAAGTATGTTGGCCATCTCTTCACTACACACAAAGTTCTGGTGTTGATCTCCCCCCGTCAGAACGCGGCACCTCCGAAGCCATCTTCGCCGCTGATTCGAGGCCCGGAGCTGATTTAGGGTTAACATTTCTTGGAGTTCTGAAGCCCTCTACATAAAGCTCAAACGGTTCCCTCGAAGACGTCCGGATGACAAAGACGAAAGCTTTGAGTGCTCCCAAACTCAAACCTTGAACCCCCGTCTTCCCCATATCCTTGGGTTGGCGTACAAATTCCAAGTTCCAAGTCAGACCCCTGATTCAAGCCGTCAGCCTGAAGGCGAAAGAACGTAATGCCCTAAAGCTGCCGTCAGCCTTAGTGACCGAAGTCTGAAGCGTTTATCAGTCCTCGGAACAGACCAGAGTTCTGGAAGGCCTAAATCCGAACCATGAAGCCGTTACGCCTGAATGAGGCGACCCGCAGAATCCCGGTGCCCGTGCCGAGGCTTGGTCTCAGACATAATGAGCTCTTTGATAGTCTGCTTGCTGCAAGTAGAGCGTGCTTGCCTTGCTTGCCCAGGGTGTATGTTTGAGTTAGCATCTAATAAACGCCTTTGCCTGTTTGCTTATCTATCTGTCCGTCGATGTACCTATACATTGGAATGCATCTGTCTGCAAAGCTGTCCGTCCTTGCATGCGCATGGCCCTTTTCAAAAATTGCAAGGCACGGGCTCGGGGTGTTGGTTCTGGCCGTTGACAGTCGAGGGTTCGCAGTTGTGGCTTTGGAGGCGCGTGCGTCCTTCAACGAAAGTATGTTCCTTTACAACCTTAAATCCAAGTCAGGCCTTCCACTTCATGTTCCCGAAAAGCCTCGGAGACTGCAGTCGCAGCATCCCCGGACAAGAAATCTCTTGAGGTCATGCGCTGGAGTTACAGGGCCACGAAGGAGGACATCAAGGACTCTGATCGCTCAGGTCAGGGAGAATTTCATCCTGAGTGGAATTTTGGATACCGGGTGTCCTCAGGGTCGAGCCCTAGTCAAAACCCTCCCTGCCCCCAATAGAAATGTTAAATGCTAGACCTCACCCAAAGCCAGCCCGGCCTTACGGCATTTCAGACAGAGGAGCGTTTAGAGCTCCTCGACCAGTCATTTTACGACTGCGACTTCCGGTCGGCAGTGCATCTTGGAGCTTGGTTTATTGTTCAGGGCATGAGCTTCCATGCAGGGATTTGGTTGCTTTTTATCCATTGATGTCCATAGCTGCGCGTAAATTTTGGGGCGCAGCGCGTGACGACGCGACCACGTGACGACGTGAGTTTTGCCGCGACGACGTGAAGCGCGTGACGACGTTAACGGCGTCAACGGCGTCAGCGGCGTCAACGACGTCAACGGCGTCAACGGCGTCAGCGGCGTCAACGGCGTCAACGGCGTCGACGACGTTGACGACGCTCACGGCGTAAACGGCGTCGACGGCGTCAGCGGTGTCAACGGCGTCAACGGCGTCGACGACAGTGACGACGTTAACGTCGTCAGCGGCGTCAACGGCGTCGACGACGTTGACGACGTTAACGGCGTCAACGGCGTCAGCGGCGTCGACGACGTTGACGACGTTAACGGCGTCAACGGCGTTGACGACGTTAACGGCGTCAACGGCGTTGACGAAGTTAACGTCGTCAGCGGCGTCAACGGCGTCGACGACGTTAACGGCGTCAGCGGCGTCAACGGCGTCAACGTCGTCAGCGTATATTGCTGGAGTCACAGCGTCAACGGCGTCAACAGCGTCAACCAAGATTACGTATTGGCTATGGACATCATTGGTTTTTATCTTCGTAGTTTTGTGGATTCGAGCTTTCCGGGTCTGGGCCTGCGGCTTGACCTGTCCGTGTGAAGGGGTTTAGGGCCTGCATGATTGCAGCATCTACATGTCGAACGGCGTGAGCTGCGGCGGCAGTGGCCGTCACAGTAGGTGGAGGAGGACTAGTAACTAGTAATACCAAGAACACTAGTTAGTAACAACAATAATAGTACTACTACTGGCAGTGTAGTAGCATGGTAGCTCAGTACATGGTGAAGCATGCTTGTGGTATGGGCCATGTGATGCATTCGTACGCACGGGTTGTCTTTAAGCTCTAGTTTTCCAGGTTGGGTTTTACCGCCACAGCCCGGCCTGTGCACTATCTTGTTCTCGCACGAGGAACATGTGCTGGAATAGATCTTGGTCTTGGACACTACTGGACAGCTCGTTGTTCGTCTTTCTCTCGTTAGGATAGGATCTTGTGCACAGACCTTCGTCACAGGTTAAAGGGAAAGCGTATTGCACTTGCGCACTTTGTACGCAGACTGGTTAAAGCGGCAGCGTATTGCATGAAAGGCACTTGGTACACAGACTTATCGTCACAGGTTAAAGGGAATGTGCACTGTATTGAGCACTTTGTACACAAACTTGTCGTCACAGGTTAAAGGGAACATTTAAATGACACTTGAGCACCTTGTACAAAGACTGGTTATAGGGAAAGTGAGTGTAATGCATGAAAGGCACTTGCCACACAAACTTAAAGGGAACGTGTATTGTATTGAGCACTTTGCACACAAACTTATCGTCACAAGCGTGTCTTGCGCTTGAGCCTTCACGCCCTGAACCCTTCAATAATGTAGCTGGAATCCGCGACCTCGGATCATGCCAAAGCCAACACAGCGCGTTCAGCTCCTCCAAGGTCAAGTTTAATGTGCTGGAGTCTAGAGCATGCCAGGGTTTCTCGCGGGATGCACGGATTCTGGACTTTCCTGAACCTGAGAAGAGCAAACAGCCCTCCTTCCGCTGCAAACCCCGTTACCCCG